CCATTCGGTCGCTTCCTCAAGTTACGTGCTGTTGCAAACAATAACCCTTCCTGCTGGGTTTAAAATACAACTTCAGCTTTCCTTCTAATGGAGCTCCGCCAGAGCAGGCAGCACTGGAATGACTTGGCTGAGGGATGCTCCAATCCTCTGTAAACGTGTTCATTCGGATTTATGGATGGGCAGCGCACTTAAGAACAACCATCTCTTTTGGCACATCACAACCTAGAAACTCTGTGATCACTCAGTTGTTGTAGCCTGCAAGCATTAACCCTCTGTGCTTAGCTTACAGTGCTGACTGCCATGTATGGACATTTCTAATTACTTTGGAGGCACTCTATTTTGTAGTGCATGCATAATTAGCTAGTTATTTACATTTTATTTTAGTTTCTTTCCTATCCAGGGCATTAATGAAATCCCATTGTGACATCACAACCTTCCAGTTGAAGCAGGTCTTCCCTTTAGGGATCAACCACCCTTTTAAATTAATGAGCCTCTTTGCAGAAGCTGCTTCATAATTTTATCAGTAGTGTCTGTAAGGAGATGTGCAAATTGCCCAACTCCTTTCTCAGGGACTGATCCAAAGCCCATTGAAATCAGAGTAAAGACTTTTATTGGCTTAATGAGATTTGGATCAGCTCCTGCTTGTATTTTCTTTTTGAAAATGTAAGAAATCAAAGGGAAAGGAGCCATTAAATCTTCCCACATGAACAGAAATATGTGGGAAGGGGAAGGAGAGATGTGCGAAAGCTGAGTAGCAATGGAGATCATTGAAGTGTAGGATAGGCTGTATGAAAGAAGTGATAGCATCATATTATTATTAACAAACAGGCTATCATTTATTTTTCTGTGAAGAGTCAAAAGCATATAGGAACCAAAACTGCACAGAACCTGGGCTCCCATAAAAAATGAGCTGCTTTTGTGAGGTATTATTTGGAGAAAACTTGAAAATCTTACTTCTCAACCTCTTTTGTTAGGGAAACTTTGATAGCATTAGCAAAACTTTAAGAGCTCACTTCTGCCTCTATTCACATCCAGAACATCCTGGATTTTTAAAATGTAATTTGAACAACAACAACAACAAAAATGTTGCTAAGCAACAACCTCATTCAAATGATCTGAAATAAGTATTCATACTAAACTTTGTAAAGCATCTCAGGGAACTTGCCAGGTATGCCAGGTGAGAAAAGAAAAGAGAATATGTCCAAAATCAAGCAGAGTATGCATCTACTAGGAGAGGACTGACCTGGACAAATCAGTTGCTGTGCATGTATTGTTTGAACCAACTTTATTTGAAATATTGGTTTAGTAACATAAATTAAGTGTCCCCGGTTTCAGTGTGTGTCATTGGTCAAGGTTTCAGGAATAATAGAAGTCCTGCTTTTCTACAAATAAAAGTGGACAGTTTCTAAAGTGCAATCTTAAGTATGTGTTTTTTTTCCTTCAAACTCAAGCATGCTTGACTTCAGTTTCACTCCAAATGTTTTATTCAACAAACAGAATGAACGCTATGGAGGTTATTAGAAAGCAACTCCCACTCATCAACAGTGAGGCTGGGAGTACAGGAGCATGTTCCTCATTGGTCTCTCTTATCTGAATTCTCCTTAGAAATTCCAGTTCAACAGAAAAAAGGAAAATATTAATGACCAAATTCCAGAAGAGATTGTGTGTGTGTATGTGTGAGAGAGAGAGAGTCAGGGTGAAGGGGAGGAGAGTGGGAAGGTTACGTGAGGAAGAGGGGAGCTCTGAAACTGATTATCCTAATTATGCGATCCAGAGCATGCCCTTTTCTCATTTCTCGGGAGCAGCGGCACTCAACCTCGAAGACCTGGAGAATGGTTTAATCACTGGTGATGTTGCAACAAGTCACAACGTCGTGGTGTCTGATGTCCTCTGGCACTGTACTCACTGTTTGTGCTGTAATGTCCACATAATGTTATCACTTCCTGATGCCATGTCACGTTGAAAACATGACTGCCAGGCTGTTGTGTCACAATAGTTTTGTGACTTGACCTCCATTTTAACATTTTGGAAGCTTCTTCCCTTCCGATCCTGAACGCTGGGAGGCAGTGGAAAAGTGTGTCTCACCTATTTCTCTCCTGCCCAAGACACCCAATTGGCTGCTCAGAGGGATAGAGAGGGCTCCCAGTGTCTCCAGTCTATTTTCTCAGCACTTCCCTGTAGCTGTGTCGATGTCAGGCAGCATATGGAGGGCTCCTGTTTTTGGCATTCATTTCATGTAGAACAGGCACATGTGGGTCCTTGAAAAGTTGCATGCCATGCTAGAGCCATGGGTATAGTATTCTTTTTATTCCTAGTTCAGAGTAGAAACAGCCAGTGATTTTGTTAAGCATCATTGTTGATACATGCTAATGAGGCAAGTCCCCTTCCCCCCAGGAATTCAGTGGTTTTTTTTTTGCATAACAAAGGTGGCAGCACGTTCACCTCTTTCTGGCAAAATAACGTCAAATGTAACTTCTCTTATGTGATACAATGAAAGAATTCCCATGATCTTAATAAAACATCTTCTACTTATTTAAATGCACCATCTTCTACTTATTTAAAATCACCTACTCCTGCCCATACTACACACAGTCTCTAGTCTGGAGAAGGATGCCTTTCAACTAACACATACATCTCCAAAGGAGAAGATCTGTGGGAAAATGGGTAATAAAATCCAGAAGAGAGAGCCCTGAAAGAGAATACAGTGTATTAGAGAAGTGACCAGAGCTCACAGATACTGAGAATGAAATTAGTTAAAATTCTGCTACACATCCTCTTTGTAGGGTGTGTGTGTATGTGGAGGAGTGGGGAGGGGGGCGGGGGAGAGTTCCTGTATGATTTGACTTGCCAATTCATTTGTAGAAACAATTATAAAATGCAAATATTTATGAATCACTGTATATGTTGTAATCTTATTTTCAAAACAAACATTGCCTTATACTGTAGTTCTGTGATGGTGTGAGATTTTTCCAACATTTATCCCATTTCAGGCAATGAGGTGCAGGGGATAAATGCTGCTGCTCAGACAGAGGGGATGTATGGTAACTCCTAGAGCATGTGTTTCTGGCAAGCTATTGCCCCCATCTAGCATGTGTTTTTGAAAATATTCAAATTAGGTTTAAGATGTATAATGATATTTTTCATATTTTAATTGTGACTTATGCAAATGTTATAGCCAAGCTGTACAAATAATATTCACAGCAGATGACAACATTCACATTTAAGTCTGGGCATGTAACACCCTGACACAAGGTTCTGTGCAAGCTGCTCTTTGATTCATAAGGCAGGGAAGCTTTCTGTTAGATGTAGCTTGTGTTACTTTTACCCGGCAGTTAAATATATATTGCAAAGTGCTACAGACAGAAGGCAGTCGACAAGTCAAGAGTAAAAATTATTGAGAGGGGTGGGCCAAAGGAAAGGGAGTCAAATGGGAATGAATTAATGCGGTTTTGGAATCATGGCTATCAGAATGTTGAACCACCCAGTGAATCACCTGAGCAAGGTAGAAGGCCTGCTGGTAGGAAGGGGTAACACTTTACAAAGCTGGCTGGAGTTATGACATCACCCTTTATTGCAGGCCTCAGTCTTTGTGACTACCAAGCTGCTATCAACTCTTGGGGCCCTTCTGGACTATCAACTGCTCTTAGGTACCCAAATAGCATTGTCCAGAGAATGCCTTTCTCAGTGTTTGCTTACCAGGAGACTATGGCATTTCCTTTCAGATGTGAACTCAACTACAGTAATCCATGGCTTTGTCACCTCCAGGCTAGTTTGCTGCAATGTTTTCTGCTCAAATTGATTGTAGAGGCTACACGTTTGCTCCAGTTGGTTCAAATGTCAACAGTCTGTTTTTGAGGGAAGAAGGATATTTCAACAAACACACATTAAGTCATTGCTCCATGCTGTATTACACTGACTCTATCCGTTTCCAAGCACACACTTTGGCATGGCTCCATGCTTCACTACATTGACTGTATCCAATTCCAAGCACAGATTGTGTCATTGCTCTGTGCAGTATTATGCTGACTGTATCCAGTGCCAAGCACATACTATAGCATTGCTCCATGCTATTCTATGCTGATCTTATCCACATCCAAGTATCCATTACAGCAATGCTCTGTGCTGTTCTACGCTAACTGTATCCAGTTCCAAGCACACATTACATCAGTGCTCCATGTCATTCTATGCTGACTGTATCCAATTCCAAGCACATATTACAGAAATGCTCCATGCTATTCTATGCTGACCGTATCCAATTCCAAGTACACATTACCTCATTGCTCCATGCTGTTCCTTGCTGACTATATCCAATTCCCAGCACATATTATGTTATTGCTCCATGCTGTTCCACGCTGATTGTATTGAATTCCATCCACATATTTTGTCATTACTTTGTTCTGTACTACTCTGACTACTCAGTTCCAAGCACACATTATGTTAGTGCTCCATACTGTTCTATGCTGACTGTATTCAAATCCAAATACGCTTTACATCATTGTTCCATGCTGTTGTGTGCTGACTATATAGCCAGTTCTAAGCTAACATGATGACGTTGTTCCATGCTGTGCTACACTGAGTGTATCCAGTTCCAAGACACATGACATCTTTGCTGTGCACTACTATGATGACTATCCTGTTCCAGCACTGCCTCCGGATCCTGACTGTAATCTATAAAACTCTGGGGTAACCTTTTCCTTCTGCAAGCCAAGACAATTGCTCTCAATGGGAATTGTGTGTGATGGTCTCCAGAGTACCCACCCATCCTCTGACTTACAGGACATCCCTTATAGGGTGCCTACGTTCCACCAACTGTGTCCGAGAGCTGGTAAAAGCATTTTATCAGATAAAAAGTAAAGTTCCAGGCATTAATCATGTAAACACTGATGCAGTGACACACATACAATTTTATAGTATGAATAAAGCTCTGTGGGATACTAGCTCTTAAATATTTATTGTCTCCCTTTTTTCATACCAGTGTCCTTTGTTCTCTTGAAATACAGGTGGTCACTTGGTCTCTGGGTGAGATACTTGGGAGCTGTGCAGGATGATCTCAAGGAGCCTCTCAGCTGTGGAATTCCCTATCAGCAGAGACAGGGTAAGCCAAAGCATTGCTATCTTTGTGGCTCAATGTTAGACCTATTCCTTCAGCTACATGAGGATGGGAAGAATTAACCAGCCCATGTTTCTCCTAGAAACAAACCTTAAGTATAATTATCGCCTAAACAAGTTGTATAAATAAGGGAAAGGTGCAGAATATGACCACCTGAAACTGAAATGCTGCTGTTCTTCATGTATATATGAGGGCCGGACACTACAGTGATGGGTGCATTAGAAAGACATAGTGCAGATGGAAAGATAGGTTTGGAATTGCATATCCCACAGGTGTGTTATTGAAAGGATTCTCCTTATGGAACGAATAAGAAGGGCTGTTATGAATTGCAGAATAGGATGCTTTATAGAATATAAAAACTGCAAACCACACTTTTCCTGCATGCTGGGTTTTCAGATCATAAGGATATTTGCTCCTAATGAAATAAACCATTCTTAAATGTAGCACCTTGTTCCTATTAATCTGAATGTATTTACTTTACATTTTTTAAACATGATTTTGATAAAGTCTTGGTGTGCAGGGCTCTCTTTTGTGTGTTCTTCTTTGTGTCTGCACTGAGTATTTCTTTCACTATACAATATCTGTGGGGTGGACAAAAACTATTATAGTTCCGACTAGTTCTTTTCACTATATTTTTTCTTCTTTTACTAAATCAGACAATTGTTCAGCACCTTATTTTATGGTCAAAGTATTGTTCTTATAACAGTATCTTTCTTTTATCAGATATTTTGTAAAGAGCATTTTATGATGTATGTGTAGGGTCAAATCTGGCTTTTTAAAGTGAAAGCCACTCAAAAAGTTGGCACTAACCTATATACCATACAGTTGCAATAATTGAAACACAAGGTCAGTCTGGTATCAGGCGAGATGTGTGCCTAGGTGTGAATGGAGGTTTGGGTTACACGTAGGAAATAAACATATCTATAGGCATAATTTGCTCTATGAGGAGTATTGGATGGTATGCACAGAAATATACTGCATGAGATATTTCAAGCAGGATACTCTTATCCTGGGTTTTAGGCAAGTTGCACCAGCTTTTCCCCAAGTCATGATCCTTCTCACTGCTAAGAGCTCTTATTCAGTTAGTACTTGTGGGCTTGACGCTAGAAATATAGTACACAGAATATGGAAAATGAAACCATCATTAATCTACCACATTGCAGCAAGAGTACAAAGAAAATGTAGTCAAATAGTTTCCCAAATATAAAATTATTTTTGGAACTGATAGGAATTATGCATGAGGTTTTTATAGGGGATTTTTGCAGCAAAACACAAGTCATAAAAAGCTAAATCTTTTGTCAGGATCAGAGAGATGGTGAGAGCAAAGGCAGTAAGGGGGAGTCTTATGAGACCAAAAATAGTTTTTCATTGAAACAAGCAAATCATGATTCTGTATCCAAGAACAGTGTAGTGAGTAAAGCCACCATCATCAAGTTATAAAATGAATATCACATTGCAAGATGAGTTCTGCTGTCTTGTTGCCTTGAGTATATTTCTTCCAATAAAGGAAAATGTTCAGGCTTCTTGCAGCCAGACTTCTAGGTATGAAAATTTATCAACCCTCCAGCTAGTATATTAAGAAATATTAAAGACCAAAAGGCTGTCTAAGGTCAAGTACAATATCCTTAGCCAAAATATGATGCAGAGTTTCTCCCATTCCTAGTGCACTGACGTACCTTGGTCCCTCCTATTCTCTATCTTGGACACATGGTAGTCTAGTCTCCTGTGGTCTGTAATACTTTGGTCTAATTTCGGTTGTTGGTTTTGGTATGTAGGTGCTCGGCGGTGTTGGTAGCCTGTGATATATAAGAGATCAGTCTAGATCAATGTTTCCCAAACTTGGGATGCCGCTTGTGGAGGGAAAGCCCCTGGCGGGCCGAGGGACGTACTGGCCGCCGCTTCCAGCAGCTCCCATTGGCCTGGAGCGGCGAACCGCGGCCAGTGGGAGCCGCGATCAGCCGGACCTGCGGACGAGGCAGGTAGAGAAACCGGCCTGGCCCGCCAGGGGCTTTCCCTACACAAGCGGCGTCTCAAGTTTGGGAAACCCTGGTCTAGATGATCTGGTGCTCCCTTCTGGCCTTAAACCCTATGATTCTATGAGTTCTGATGGAGTGTTGCATTTTGTGTGGAAAGCATCATAAAAGCATTTAACATTAGTTGCCTTCTCCCCCTTGCTTTAATTGAATAGGCGGAAAGATAATAAGAGAGGACATTTACCTCCAAATTGATGTGCAATGCATTTTAAGAGAGAAATTCTTCTCTGTGCAGAAAGCCATCAAAATGGGTGTTGCATAGGCTTTGTGCTAGCTTTGTGTCCAGGGGTGAATTTTACCTTATGTATAAATGCGGTCTGCTACTGCACACTTATTATTTTTGTGTGTGTATATGCCTGAGCGATTCTCACTCCTGAGCTGGTCACATAGGATCTGGATAAATCAGGACATGAATTCTTTATCAGATTTGAGTTGTATAATATATATGCATCTATAACACCAGTATGTAATGCAAGTGTATATATAAAGTCTACAAACATATTATATAGAGTTTTTATTAAAATCTATCATTTATATATTTCTATAATGGTAGATCTTTTTCTCAACTGCTTGTGAGCCCCAGGATATGCCATATCCATTCATTTGTGCAGGGCTACACTCTGATGAAACACTGATAAAAATGAAAATGCTGCTAAGAAATGTGGGCCCCCAGGATAGTGGGAAGCAGCCATTTCAGAGGCTAATACACTTTTTTATCTAATAAATTGACTTCTCCTTTTCCTTTTTTTAAAAAAGAGATCTTCTGTAAAACACCAACAAAGAACATAAAATCTGTGTACACACAGTGCATTGCAGAGAATGCCAAAAGGTAAAACTTTATGTAACTGGGATGGAATATTAGATATTTAAGATGTAGGGAAATAATTCAAATAAAAGTCCTATTTCGTATTATACATACTAAGGTTGTCCACTGTGCTCGACAATGCTCCTTGTTTAAAAAAAAAAAAAACAACAGAAATTCCACCTTACTTTTAAAATCATAGACATGAGAAACAGGAAAGACCTGTTAGGTCTCTGACACACTGAATCCAGATCTTATGTCTTTGATGGTTACTGGGAGGGTGCTCAGCTTTTCTTAGGATGTGGCTCTTCAAGATATTCCACCACAGAATGAAAACTTCTCCAGCACTTCAAAAGCTTAGAAAAATCTTTGACACAAATTGTAAGTGAAGTGAGTTAACCATTCTTTGTAATATGGCATTAAAATTTTAAAAACATTATCAACACACAATTAAGGGGTAAAACACTCTATCACATATTTTTCACTACTACTGTTGATGCTACAGATCCCCACATAAAGTACTTTTTCAGGATGTAGTCCTGTAGGTGCTGAGTGCCCTCAGCTTCCATAGACACTGATGTTACTTTTCAAAATGGGTTCTTCCCACTGAAAAGGATATTAATAACTGCTAGTGTTGCATTCTTCAGATTTAGCTAGGCTCTTGTTTTCATTGGCCATTTATAGGTTTTAATAAAGGATAACAGAGAATTTTCCTAGTTGTATGATCAGAGAGACTAAAAAAGCAGAATTTTACTTGAACTACCTACAATTCCATGGCCATCATAATCATTTTTCTGTTTGTTTAGACATTTAAACTTTCCCTTATTCCTACAAGGACTTTTCTCGTACCCAAGATTGAACAGACAATAACATATTAACAAATGGTAAATGTTTCTCTTTATAGAAATAACAATAAATTAGGAGAGTAAAAGGTTTTATTTCTTTGTCATTTTTCAGTGTGTTTTTTATTTAAGAGGCAGTCAGTTTTAGATCTTTCTTTTCATTAAGTAGAAAGCAATTTCACTGGTAAATGCTTCTTTTTACTTATAGCAAAAATAGTGGTGCTGGTTGAGCAAAAGTAAATGAATTATTATTACTTATTATTTGTCTTGGAAGAGCAAGAAGTTGGTAAGGAAGACTTCCTTTTACTTTACTGCAATATTTTTCTATCAGTTTTGTGGAAAGAAAGACTAAATACCAAGGAAATAAATGTTTTTGGTAGAATTTTATGGCAAATAAACAACAGAAAATAATGCTCTCGCCTCATTGCCATCACAAGTGCACTTCTTGGTAAATAGAAAATGCAATGGGTTGAAGTTTGATCCTGCTGGGGATAGACCATATGCAAAACTTAAACAATACATGCTGTTTGTAACATGATGGCTGTTATTGCTTGCTGAGAAGTTGATTTATTTTCAGATACCTTCGCGTTCCTCTGCTTTTGTCTGATCTGACTACTTTACAAGTATGTGTACAAAGTCAGGCTTAAAAATTACAGGTTGTGTAATACAGAAAATGGAACAATTGCCTTCGCTTAGTCAAAATTGTTTTTCTTCAGTCATCATGTGGTACCTTATTTTTAAAAAAAGATGGAGTGTTGAATGACGGGTTCTGGGCTTGTGCTTAATCATTTTCTCCTACAAGAGCAAGGAAATACAGGACTTTTTATTTCATGTTATTAGCTGGGCTATCACTGGGCTGCTGTATGATTATAGGTCTTTTCCCTTTGCCTCATCAGTTTATGTCATAATGGAAATAACATGGTAGTGCTGAAGGAAGCAACCAGTCATACGGATGGGATGGAATGGTAGTGAAATACTGTAGGAAGAAACTATTCAGACATCCTGCCCCACTTAGCAGATACCGTCTTTATTCTGCAGCACATTAGGGTTGAGGGGGGAACAAAGAGAGAGAGAGAGCGCATTATTATTCCTTTGCAGCACAGCAGTGTATGCACAAATTTGAATAATGTTAGAAGGAAGACAATATTTTGTATTAAATATATAACCTGATCCTGCAAACTGTTACTCACACACGCAAGCTACTGAAGTCAATGGGAATCCTTGCATGAGTGAACGTGCAAGGTCGTCATCGTCTTATTTTTATTACTTATTATTTGTATTTTTGTAGCATGTAAGAGTCCCATTAAT